GTGATGCAGATGGCTCTCACCTGCCTAGGTTTCCGGCACCTACTCTGATAATAGCCACACTGTTTGAAGTGCACATAATAGGGCCACCTTACCAGAACTAAGTGTGGTCAGGGACAATGACAGTGATAAAGTCAGAAATCTGTCTTCTAGTCCCAGTTCTCCCCCGAGTCGTTGGGAACCAGAGCGTCATCGTAGTTCCTTTTCCCACCTACTACACAAAAGCTTGTGCTTGTTAAGGTGGAACAAGTGCTCAAATGAGATTGTTGTTGTTGTTAAGTGCCATCGAGTTAGTTCCAACTCACAGCAACCCAGTATAGGGTGTCCGAGGAACGACTGGTGAGTTTGATCAGCTGACCTTGTGGTTCAAACTGACTTTGCAGTCCTGTGCTTATCCTACAATGCCGCACTAGAAGTGCATCAAATGAGACACGATGTACAAAATAGTCCCAAAACCTATGTGGGGACTCCTGAGAGCCATTCATTCAGCCAAACCTCCCTCTCTGGTCTGTCTCTGTGTAATTTCTAGGTGGCATTCATTTCTGTAATTACTTAGTAAAAAGAAACGAACGTTTTGAGTACCATATGCCAGTAAAAATCATATTTGGATTATTGGAGTCCAGGTGTGGCGCTGTGGGTTAATGTGCCAGACTGCAAAGTCATTTGAACTGCAAGGTCGGTGGTTCAAGCTCACCAGCTGCTCCTTGGAAACCCTATACAGGGTCACTATGGGTTGGAACCAACTCAACAGTACTTAACAATTCTGGATTATCACTGCATTCTCACTGGTCTTCTTGCTTTTGCCCTCATCTCTCTACAGCAAGGATGGGGAAAGTCCGGGCCATGGGCCATAGAAGGCCACAAAATCACATGGTCTAGCCCTGCTAAGGCAACCGCCAGCAGGACTCAAAATTCAATAAATCTAGGAGCTTTTTCATAGCAATATAAATTCATATTAAGTGATGTTATAAATATCAAAATGGGCCTTGGTAGAGGAGTCCTGCCTGTGGCACAGTGGGCAGGTGTCAGACTACAAAGTCGTTTGAACTGCAAAGGTCGGTGGTTCAAGTTCACCAGCTGCTCCTTGAAAACCCTTTACAGGGTCACTTTGGGTCAGAATTGACTAGATGGCACTTAACATCAACAACCCTGCTCTATTGCCTGTATTGATTCCTGAGGGTCGTTTTTGAAAGTTAAAGTTATATCATGCTACTCTTTTGCTTAAAGTCACCTGAGAATTTAGGAGGCCAGAAGTCCTAATTCAGAGCGTTGGCTCTGGAGAAAGGACCTCCTGGTCGCCTTGCAGCATCAGTAGGCCCAGCATTCCTTGGAGTTCTCCATGTGTCTTGACCTCAACCTTCCACTAGATATAGAACCTTCACAATGCAGGGACTCCAAGTCCAAAGGATACACTCCATTCCCACCTCTTCTTTCTTGGTGGCAGGGTGTCCCCCTTCCTGCTCACTTTACCTTTTATATTTCAAAAGAGATTGATCCAAAATGCAATGTAGTCCTGTAGATGGCATCTAGTCTCATTAATATCATAGATGTGAGGATTTTCAACATATAAGATAATTACATCACATTAAGTTGGTTACATCAATCATATCGGGGGGTGACTGTTATCAGATCAGATCTCATGTTACAGATGACAACTATACCTTGATTTCTAAAAGCACCGGGAATCCTCACATAGCCAAGTTGATACAAAACCTTAACTATCACCAGTATAATATGGTCAAGAACAAATGGTATTGAAGGAAGAAATCCAAGCTGCACTGAAGATGGAGTCATAAACCAAGGCACCAGGAATTGACAGAGCACAAGATGAAATGCTTCAACAAGTTGAAGCAGCCCTGGAGGAGCTCATTCATCTATGTCAAGAAATTCAGACGAGATCCATATTTGTGCCCTTTCCAAAGAAACATAACCCAACAGAACATGGAAATCATCAGATATCACATGCAAGTCAAATTTTACTGAAGATAATTCAAAAAATAGTTGCAGCAGTACATTGACAGGGAGCTGTCAGAAACTCAAGCTGGACATGGAACTAGAATATCATTGCTGATGTCAAATCGATCTTGACTGAAAGGAAAGAATACCCAAAAGAGGTTTCCTTGTGCTTTATTGACTACACAAGGCATTCAATTATGTGGATCACAATGAACCACAGATAACAGTGCAAAGAATGGACATTCCAGAACACTTAATTGTAGTCATGAGGCACCTGTTCACAGAAGAGGCCATCATTGAAACAGAACAAGGGAATACTGTGGATTAAAACCAGAATGTGTGAGGGCTGCATCCATATTCAATCTGTATGCCGAGCAAATAATTCAAGAAGATGGATTATATGAAGAAGAACATGGCATCCTGACTGGATGAAGATTCAGCAACAGCTTGTGATATGCAGATAGCACATGCTTGTTTGCTAGAATAAAGAGGACTTGAAGTACTTACTGATGATCAAAGACCATAGCATCTAGTATGGGTTGTACCTCAATGTAAAGAAAACAAAAATCCTCCCCAATGGACCAATAAATAACATCTTCATAAATGGAGGAAAGCTGGACATTGTCAAATATTTCATTTTACTTGGACCCACAATCAATGCTCATGGAAGCAGCAGTCAAGAAATCAAACACCATATTGCACTGGGTAAACCTGCTATATGCTGTTGTCATGTGCTGTGGAATTGGTTCTGACTCATAGTGACCCTGTACAGGGCTTCCAAAGCTGTAAATCTTTACAAGAACAGAAAGTCTCATCTTTCTCCCATGGAATGGCTGGTAGTTTCGAACTGCTGACCTTGAGGTTCTCAGCCTGACTCATACGCACTACGCTACCAGAGCTCCTTTCAATCAGTTTATAATGAACTTATTTGCTCTTGATCTGTTTGTAAGAAGGCTTTACTCTGACAAAACCCTTTGATTTGCTTCTCAAATGCTCCTCAGTCTTTTAACTGTAGGTAGACCAACAGTTTGTCTGGGATTGAAGGGTTTCAGGATGAAAGTAGGATAGTCGTGGAAAGAGGGAAGAATGAACAACAGAAACTAGCCAAAAACTTAGCTTTCAGGACTTACAAGTGTCTATGATTGTAGATTTGATACTGTTAAGTTATATTCCCACTTGCAAACTGCTTGAATAAAGAGCTGTACAGCTGTATATCAAAAGGGGGTCTGTAAATTGGTACTGCTAGGAGGATTCGAAAGGAGCTCTGGTAGCATAGTGGTTATGAATCGGGCTGCGAACCGCAAGGTCAGCAATTCGAAACTACCAGCTGCTCCATGGGATAAAGATGAGGCTCTCTGCTCCCGTAAAGATTTACAGCCTTGAAAACCCTGTTCAGAGTCGCTATGGGTCGGAACCAACTCACTCGATGGCACTTAACAACAACAACAAGGAGAATTTGAAATCATTCCAATTAGATTATAAGTAAAAGTTAGATATAGCAAGATACTTCAGCATTTTATTTAAAATTTTGTGCCTCATTATGTTATCCTTTCATTTTTATAATTTCGAATACATACAAAGTATTTAATCTACCCTGTTGTTAATTCCAACTGACTTGGTTTTGACTCATAATGACCCTGTATAGGGTTTCTGAGGAGTGACTGGTGGGTTTGAATTTTGGAGGATTGAACCTTGTGGTCCAGCAGTCCAGTGCTTATCCTACAGCGCCACACCAGGACTCCAACCTATGCTGTGAGTGTAACAAGGGAATTTTGCACACCATGTATGTTCTGATCAATAAATTATCAGAAAGCGAATACACCCATGTAGCCACAACCCAAAGCAAGTTTGAAATGAACATCCAACTATGGAAGAATTGTCTTCCTTTTCTCTGAGACATCAAGTCTTCCTATCTCAATTTGATATATACCTGAGCTACCTACACTGTTATCTGCTAGTTGTCATTAATTGTTGAGTCAGTTCCAACTCAGCGACCTGTATGGGGTTTCCAAGGAGTGGCTGGTGGATTTGAACTGCCAACTTTGCAGTTCAAACGGCTTTGCAGTCTGGCGCATCAACCCACAGCACCACACCAGGATACTACAATTAGTACTTTTGATATAAGTAAAGGTTTCTATACGCCTACAAATGCTTCCTTTTATTCTTTTAGAAGCTCTTCCAATGGATTGAATTTGCTAGGTATGCTGTCCTTTGCTCCCAATTCGCATGAAGTGGAAGATCAGTCTAGGTAGAAGGCCCTGCACGTCCCTTGGAGGCAATCTTCTGGGAGAATGGAGGAAACAAGTGCTTTATAAATGCTGCAATGTTGCAGAAATGAGGGTTTGACAAAAACAATATCGAAATGTGACTTTTATCTTTTTAGGGAATTCCTGATTAAACAGCAAGGACTCCATCTGACATGTGTATACTGGGGACTAAAGGGAGCCTAAGGGGTCCTTGCGTGGGCACAAACCAATTACGGTTACAACGCCCTGAAATTGCTTTCGCAGCCAGGACAGATCACAAATCAAAAGCCACACGCTAGACTGAGAGAGTTTACAGGCACAAAGAGATCCTCGGCTGGGCCAGGTGTCAGTGTCGAGGAATGAAACCCAGGCTTATGTGCATGGAGGCTGGTCGAAACCCTGTGAGGTTACAGTTACAGACCCTCAGGACTAACCCCTCTCTGGAGGCGCGCGCAGGCGCGGGCGTGTCTGAGCGCCCTGGGTGACGCTATCTGGACGCTAAGATGCTCACACGGCTGCGGAGCCTGACCTGGCCTTCCTTCCAGAACCGCAAGCAGGATTCAGGCCTCCCTAGGGACAGCGGCTCGTGAGATCAAGAAGACTCCAAACACAGATGCTGCTCAGCAAACAACCATCAAGTCCGAACCCCAAAGAGACCGTACCACCGCACTTTCCTAGGTCCCGGAGGCTGACGGCGCATGCGCGGCCGTGACCGCGCCGCTTCCGGCTGAGGGGGCGTGGCCTGGGACCCGGAAGTAGTGCTCTCGACGACCGTGAAGCGGGTTCGAGACCCCGGCAGGCATGGCGCAGCACGTGTTTCTTACCGGGCCGCCAGGTAACCGCGCGCGGCCTCGGAGCTGCCTCTGTGGGTCGTCTCCGCAAACCGGGCTTCGCCTGGAGGAGGCCAGCGGCTGGGGATTGCGTGGCCGGGTCGGGGACCGGCCTGGAGGAGGTGGCTGAGCGGCTTGGCGTTTAAAGTTCTGCGCAACAGACCTGCCAGGCTGATGCAGACGCGAACCCTCGCAGGAAAAATCTCTTTAAATACAGGCAGTCTTTAGCCTTGTTGCTGTTGTTATTGTTAAGTGCCGTCTAGACGGTTCCGACCCATAGCGACCCTGTATAGGGTTTCCGAGGAGCAGCTGGTGAGTTTGAACCGCCGACTTTGCGGTTCAAACTGACCTTGAAGTCGAGTACTCATCCTGTGGCGCCACACCAGGGATGTAGAATAATCAATGTGTGCTCATTCTTAACCTGCTTCTACTTCATTTCTTTCTTTTCATATATTAGGGTACATTTTCAATGTCAAGTAAGGAGTCCTGGTGTGGCCCTGTAGGTTAAGCACTGGACTGCGAACCACAAGATTGGTGGTCCAAAACCACCAGCTTCTCCTTGGAAACTTTTCTATGTGAGTTGGAGCTGACTCGATGGCACTTAACAACAACAACATAGTACTATAATTTGCAATCCTGGTGTGGTGCCTTAGGATAAGCGCAGGACCGCTGGAGATCGGTTTGAATCATAAGATTGGTGGTTCAAACTCACCAGTCGCTCCTGGGAAACCTTATAGCTTTGAGTCGACAGCGCTTCGTATGTGTAGTACTATAATTTAACAGTCCCCGTGCTGTGCTGATCAACATTTAGATTGCTTTCACTGTTGCACTCATAAAGAAAGCTGCTGTTGTTAAATGCCATCCAGTCAGTTCCAACCCATCACCACCGTATATAGGGTTTCCGAGGAGCAGCTGGTGAGCTTGAACTGCCAACCTTGCAGTTCAAACGACTTTGCAGTCTGGTGCATTAACCCACAGTGCCACACCAGGGCTCCAAACTGAAATCTTACTTCAGATTTTTCTGTACAATTGTCAGATTATATACTGAGGAGAAATTCCCAGTTATAGACACTCTAGGTGCTATGGTATGCACACTAATATGGACGATTAAATTGTCCCCTTGCCCACTCACCAGTGTCACCTGTTTAAGTGTAAAGGACTCTTCAGTGATCTTCCTAAAGTGACAGTGATTGAGAGACTCAGTGGGATTAGAACCTTGTCATTTTGTATTCTACACAGTTCTCTTACATGTCACTGAGATCCTTCTGGGATGCTGTTTGGCTTCCGAAAGACCAGATGCCATTGTTTGTTGGTGTGAAGTTTGAAAGAGATACATTAAATAAAACTAGTGGATCATAGTTTATGAGAAGGAAGTTGAAAAGATTTCTTGGGGATGTCTGACTGTGTGGGCAGCTATATAAATAATATGACTTGCAGCACTAACATCCCAAAATATCGCCGTTACACACCCAGTAGAGATCTACCCTGTTTATAGTCAGTAAGCAGAACTCCATTGACCTAAAAACCCAAACCAAACCCACTGTCAACAGTTTGATTCCAACTCCTAACAACCCTATGAGCAGAGTAGACTTACTTTTCGTGTCTGTACGTCTTTGTACGCCTGACCCAAGCCATGGTATTTTCAATAACCTCATATGCATGCGAAAGCTGGACAGTGAATAAGGAAAACCATAGAAGAATTAATGCTTTTTTTTTTTTTAAGTTACTTTTTTTTTTTAAGGTTTTTATTGTGGATTGAGTGAAAGTTTTCAGGGCACATCATCAGTTTCACATTCAGACATTCATATACCTTGTTTCATTACATTGATTATAATCCCCTCCACATACCATCAGTTAACAGAGTTTCTCTCTCCTCTTTAGCTTTTTTTTTGGGGGGGGGGGGAACTTTGCCTTTTTGGAATTTACAGTCTTGGCTTTTAGGAGAATTGATGCTTTTGAGTTATGGTGTTGGAGGAGAATACTGAAAGTGCCTTAGGCTGCCAAAAGACCAACAGATCTGTGTTGGAAGAAGTGCAGCTAGAGTGTTCCGTGGAAGCCAGGATGGACAAACTTTGTTTTTCATACTTCAGACACATTGATAGGAGGTACCAGTCACTGGAGAGGAATATCATGCTTGGTAGGGTGGAGGGTCAGAAAAAAAGACCCCCAGCAAGATGGACTGGCAAAGTGGCAGCATCAATGTGTTGAAGCGTGGCAACAATTGTGAGGTTAGCCCAGGACTGGGCAGTGTTTTCTTCTGTTGTGCATAGGGTTGCTATGAGTCAGTACCTATTCGATGGCACCTAACAACAACAACAACAAACGTCTTTGTGGGAGCAGATAGCCTCATTTTTTTCCCAAGGAGTGGCTGGTGGGTTTGAACAACTGACCTAGTGGTTAGCAGCTCATTGCTTAATCCATTGTGTCCCCAGGTTCCTTCCATGGGAACAAGCCTCAAAATATAGGCAGAGTGAAACATAAAGCTTAAAATGTTAGGTCCTTACTAAGTGTATAACCTTTGATAAGTTACCTGACTTCTCTGTGTCTTTCTCCTCATCTATAAAATCAGGTAACTGCCTCAGAAGGTTGTCGTGAGGGTTTCAGCCCTAAAATACTTGTAACATTTGCTGCAACAGCACCTGAGTCCACAAATGTGCTTAGTATTCTTATGTGAGGAAGCACCTGTGAGTGCTGATAAATTCATAGAGTTAATCACGTTTGTTATTTATTGTTCCACTTGTGAAGATTTTTTGGTTTCTTTACGTTGATATGCAGTTCATACTGAAGGAAACAAAAATCCTCACAATTGAACCAATAACGTCATGATAAACAGAGAAAAGACTGAAGTTGTCAAAGACTTCAATTTGCTTGGATCTGTAATTAACACTTATGGAATCAGCAGTTAGAAATCAAGTGGCCTATTGCATTAGGCAAGTCGGCTGCTCAAGACCTTTTTAAAGTGTTAAAGAGCAAAGGTTCGAGTTCTAAGGCGTGCCTGACCCAAGCCAGCATATTTTCAATAGCCTCATATGCATGTTGGACAATGTATAAGGAAGTCTATAGAAGGATCGTTGCATCTGAATTATGGTGTTGGAAAAGAATATTCCAAGTGCTATAAACTGTCAGAAGAACAACAAATCTGTGTTGGAAGAAGATCCAGAATTCTCCTGAGAAACCAGGATGGTGAGACTTTGTCTCTCATACTTTGGTCATGTTATCAGTAGGGACCAGTCCCTGGAGAAGGACATTATGCGTGGTAAAGTAGAGGGTCAGCAAAAAAGAAGATCCCAAACAGTATGGATTGATGCAATGGTCGTTACATTGAACCCCTCATAAAGTAACAACAATTGTGAGGATGGTACAGGACCAAACAGTGTTTCTTTATGTTGTGCATAGGGTCGCTTTGAGCCAGAACTGACGATGGCACCTAACAACAACGACAATTAAATTTGTCCTTACCCAGACTTGGAGGAATGGAAAGTGTCAGCAATGGGGAGGGTATACAGGTAGTCATGTGTGGGTTGCAATTTGGAAGGGTGGGGGGGGCAAACTGAAGGAATTCCTAGAAGAGGATGTTGAAGGGTAACCAACTTGCTAACATTGCTACCAAGGGAAGTTTTTAAGACCAAGTACTTTGACTGGTTATTCTCTTTAAGGGATCCATTCTCAGGAGACCTGTAATGCAAGTTCGTGGGGTGTAAAGAGGTGTTACCATTGTTAAATGTATTTAAAAGCTCTTGGAGGTTTTGAAATCCTTATTGACAGAGAGCCGAGTCTTTTGGCGCTTTTGTTAATAAGCACTCAGCGACAAGGTCTGAACCGGAAGGTTGACTCCTCCAAAACCCTGTGTAGATAATAGGGTTGCTATGAGTCGGAACCGATTTGATGGCAGTGAACAGCATGAAGCCTTTGACCCAAGCATTACCAGTTTTTCTTTGTAAGCAGAAAGTGGCAGCTCAGGAGGGAAGGAAAATCTAGGATGAAATAGTGTTTCACAGGATGTAAATTACACTTGAGAATATCATCAGAAAGTCACAAGTTGACTTAGTGGGTTCTAGAATTGTATATGTGACAAAACTCTTAATGTATGCGTCACAATTTAAAAATAAACTTCAAGATATCATTCATAGTTTGTGCTTGTTTCTACTTGAAATTTAAAAATTTTAACACCTAGAACAATCAAAAGTGAAGTAAAATTAATATTCATTGCATTTATTTGCAACCATTTCTCAGACCACCCTGATTGCTCTCAGGCATGTGCGTGTTCTAGCATGAGTGTTTCCTAATGGGCATTTTCTTTCTTGCCCCCCCCTTTTTTTTTTTCAGGGGTTGGAAAAACAACATTGATCCGTAAAACTTGCGAAGCCTTAAAATCTTCCAGTGTGTCTGTGGATGGATTTTACACAGAAGAAGTCAGACAAGGTGGAAGAAGAATAGGATTCGATGTTGTCACTCTGTCTGGTACCCGGGGACCTTTATCTAGAATTGGGTATTTATATTTATTGTCTACTATGGTGTTTTTTTCTCTAAGCTCACCGTGTTTGAGTTTTTTTTATTCTTATTCAATGAAAGTTCAGTGATTTAGTAAGGGCTTTTGAATCTCTGGATGCAACTCTAATATTCTCTTCAGAAGGTTGAGCCAGTTGATCCTTTCTAACTTTAAGCATGTATGGCCTTGAGGTCTTTATAGAGGAAGCAAATATCATATTTCACTTAAAACTTCTTCCGCTGAAGCAGGCGCTCTTTCACTCTAACTCTTAGTCCCATCTGAGTGCCCCTTTTCAGAGTCGGTTGGTGCAAGCCCATTATTCCCGCACAAACACTTATTGGTAGCTGCACTCTCAGGAGAAAATCTGAGTCCAATCAGCTCTGCATACCACTGCTCTTTGAGTAAGTGATCATAGAGGATGTATTAGCACATGTGCAAGGCCAAGACACTCAATGGCATAGCTCAAAACCAGAAATCAATACATGAAAGTGTCAACAAAGAACACCATGTCTTTCCACTTAGGGCTGAGTCTCCACCTGGAAAACGCGAGTGCCGTGTTGGGCAGTATGTGGTTGATCTGACTTCTTTTGAGCAGTTGGCCCTTCCTGTCTTGAAGAATGTGAGTATGAGTTTCTATTGGCTGAGTTCATCTGCTGTAGGTACATTGTAAGAGGCACTAGACAGGGGACCAGAGTGTTGTCTAATCTTCAGAGAGGACATATTGCTACAGTTTAAAAGTCTTTAAGAGATTGAGCCAAAATAAAAATATACAACATATGTCTCTCTGAGCTACAAGTAAATTCCTTGTCAAATAAGTTTGTCCTAGTGGGTATGAAATGGTATCTCACTGCGGTTTTGATTTGCATTTTCCTGATGACTAATGCTGTGGGAACATCTTTTCATGTGTTTGTTGCCATTTATAGATATATCTTCTTTGAGAAATGTCTATTCAAATTCTTTGCTCATTGTTTCGGTTGGAGTTTTTGTCTTTTTGTTACTGAGGTTTCAGTTATTTGTAAATTCTGGATTCAAGTATGTTACACTTTTTATGGTTTGGAAGTATTTTCTTCCATCCTGTGGGTTTCACGTTCCACTTTCTTCATAGTATTGTTTAAAGCACAGTGTTTTCAGTTTTGAAAAGTTGAATTTATCTATTTTTCTTTTGTCACTAGTGCTCTCAGTGTTATATCAAAGAATGCTTTATCATGAACCTGAGTTCATGAAGATTTGCTCTTGTCCTTTTTCTCCTAAGAGTTTTATAGTTAGACATTTAAAATTGTTAATCTATTTTAAAATTAATTTTTATATCTGGTATGAAGTATATGTAACTACGTAAGCTATTTCCTTGAGATACATCTCTGTATTTGAAGGTGCTTCAAAAAGTTGGTGGAAAAATGGAATTAAAAGATAATGGAATTTTTCCACAAACTTTTTGCATTCCTCCTCATGCATATGCAAGCGTCATTGCTTTTGCATCTCTAGAGAACTCAGCCTAAGATATTTGGTACTGAGAGCGGTTCTAGGGAAACAAAATGCTAAGGATGAGTTTTCTAAATTAGTCTTCAATTCTGACTAGTCTTAATGGTATCGATGACCCTGCCTCTAGTAGTAAAGAGGGCACTGCCAATCCTTGGTATGAGGTGGCCAATATTAATAATGCAAAATATCACCACCAGTAGATCGGGTCTTGGTGGGAAGCAAGACTCCGGGTGATTGCATATTTGTGGCACTTTCATCCAATTTTGTCAGCATGAGAAGTATAGGGCAGCGAATTGTCTGGCCTTACTTTTGCTAGACAGGAGCTCTGGTAGCATAGTGGTTACAAGTCGGACTGCTAATATCAAGATCTGCAGTTCGAAGCCACCAGCTGTTCTGTAGGAGAAAGATGAGGCTTTTTGCTCCCATGAAGATTTACAGCCTTGGAAACCCTGTGCAGGGTCTCTGTGAGTCAGCACCAGCTCCACAGCACATAGCCACCACCACACTACTTTAGCTAGACAGAGTGGTTAACGAAAGAGATGAATGGCTTATAGTCACAGCTCAAATGCTACATAAAACACATCAAAGTTGCAACTTGCCTCCTGAGAGAAAGCCTAATTTTTTTGTAGTAACAGCTGATACTGAAGAAAACCAAACTGAAGTCTTATTGAACAAGTGGCTAATTTGTAATACTAATTGAATTCCCAACTTTGGCTTTTGAAGTTAAAGTGAGGGCATTGATTGGGAAGAACTGGAATCCTGCAACTTGGGATGGGGACCTGTTGTTGTTAGGTGGAAAATTGGAAGTAATTAAAAATGAAATGGAACCCATAAAGATCTATAGCGTAGATGTTGTATTGTTGTTGGATGCCATTGAATCATTTCTGACTCAAAGCAACCGTATGCACAACAAAGCAAAACACTGCCCAGTCTTGTTCCAGCCTCATATTTGTTCTGTTTGAGCCCAATGTTGCATTGCAGCCACTGCGTTAGTCATTTTTGTTGGAGTTTTCCTCTTTTTCACTGACCTTCTACTTTACAAAGCATGAGACCTTTTCCAAACTAGTCTCTCCAGGTAACATGTCGAAAGTACATGAGATGAAAGATGGAGGATCCGAGAAAAAGAGGAAGACTCCCAACAAGATGGATTGGCCAAGGGGCAGCATCGATGGACTCATGCGTGGCAACAGTAGTGAGATTGGCCCAGGATCGGGCACTGTTTCATTCTGCTGTGCATAAGGTCGCTATGGGTCGGTACCTCCTTGGTGGCACCTAACAACAACAAGGAGCATTCTAGCGATACTTCTTCCAAGATAGATTTGTTTGTTCTTCTGGAAGTCATGTTACTTTAAATAATCTTTGCCAACACAATAACTCAAATACATCAATTCCTCTCAAATCTTCCTTACTCATTTTCCAGCTTTTACATGCATATAAAGTGAGTGAAAATACTTGAGTCAGGTGTACCTTACTATTCCGTAACATCTTTGTTCTTTAACACTTTAAAGAGTTCTTTGCAGCAGATTTACCCAATGTAATTTGATAATTGATTTCTTAACTGCTGTTTTGAGCAACGTTGATTGTGGATCCTAGGAAAGTGAAGTTCTTGACAACGTCCCTGCTTTCTCTGTTTATCATGATAGCGTATGTTGGACCAGTTATATTTTTGTTATCTTTGCACTGAGTTGTAATCCATACTGAAGGCTGTAGTCTTTGATCTTTATCAGTAAGTGCTTCAAATCCTCTTTGCTTTCAGCAGGTAAGGCTGTGTCATTTGCATACTTCAGGTTGTTAATGAGCCCCCATCCAATGCTAATCTTCACATAGTACAGCTTTTCAAATTATTTGCTCAGTGTACAGAAAGACTATGAGATCGGGACATTTGTGCATATAATCAGGAAGCTGGGGACACTGAGCCATTCCGTTCTATTGAATTACTCCTGCCACCAGAACTGACCCTCATCTGAGAAGATGAGTCTTTGTCTGAGATACTGCCTGGGGTGGTGCCAGGGTCTTTGTCTGGAATGTCATGTGAGTCCGATGCCTTATAAGACTGCTGAATATGCCAAAGACCCACCCCTACCGCCTAGTAGGTGAAGTACAAACTGACCCAGAAAGAGATACACTGTATTCCAAAAGAACTCCTTAGATTTTCTAATACAGAAACCTGAAGAATATATGTGGGAATGTTTATTTAAGGGTGTGGGATAACTGCCAAGAAAATGAACTTGGACCAGCCTGCATTTATTGATGTGAACCCACTAAATACACTTTCTTCATTCAGTGTTTTAGTTCCAGAGGTTAGGAAAGTGTCTAATAGCTGATTTGATGGGTTCACTGAAGCATGGATTACGCAGTGGTGGTTGGGTGGTGATGTGCCATGGAGTAGATTCTGATTCATAGCGACCCTGCATAGGATTTCCGAGGCTATAATCTTTACAGGAGCAGAAAGCCTCATCTTCCTCCCGCAGAACTGCTGGTAGTTTCAAACTGCTGACCTTGAGATTAGCAGCCTGACTCGTAACCAGTACTCTATCAGAGTTCCTTGAATTATGCAGCTGTTGTAGTTAGTGTTGTCGATTTGGTTCTAAGCCTTTGCGAACCCCGTGTAGGGTTTCCAAGGAGCAGCTGGTGAGCCTGAACCGCTGACCTTACGATTCAAACCAGCTTTGCCAACAGCGCATTAACTCAGAGCACCACACCCAAAATGATACAGAGAGACAGGGTGATGTCTGGGAAGGTTCTCAACACAGAGCTTGCCTGTCCTAAGAGACATGCTGGCCTCCTCAGATGCTCTCACCAATCAGGAAGTCCTCGGCCTTAGTGTTGTAGGTTTCTGTGGGCCAGTCCTAGGTGACAGGCTAAATCATTCCTCCTGAGGCTAGTTTATTTCAGCCTTCAGGTGAGTCTTTTCTGTCTGGCCAGCCCTCACTCACCCGCACAGTGCTTTGGGGGACACTCTAGAGGAGCAGAGATTGCCAGAGAAACAGTGCTCAGGTGAGCATTGAGGACCAGCATGAATCTATTTCCCAAAATGTGGAGATGGATCCAGTCCTTGCGGTCCACTTCTCCATCCTTGTCACCAGCCACCCCCATGGCATTCCTTCTCTTTCTCCACAACCCCAACCTCTGGAGCAAGGCCCGGACTCCTCACAGGTTAAAGAACACCATCCTTTACACTGCCAATAAGCAGGTGCTAGCCACAGTTCTGGGAGTCCGCTTGACACTCCACCCTCCCCTGGCTTGCTTGTCATAGTTTGAACTGGTTCCTCACCATCCTTTCAGAATGCCATCCTCACTTTTTGACTTGCTGGCTCCCACCTTGGGTTTGATTATTCTCTGGAATAATCAGAATTCATCGAGAGTTTACAATACCTGCACAGATTCTCAGGTACAGACTGTAAGCCTCAGATCAGGGCACCACAGGTATTCCAAGGGCTATGTCTCTGGAGTAAAAGACAAAGGACAGCTTGTGGTCAAGTTTGGTCCTTTATCCAACTCAGGGAATTTAATTTTCCAGGTGCCTGCCTGGTGTGACACTGTAGGATAAGCACTTGACTACAAGTTCAGTTTGAGCCACAAGGTCGATGGTTCAAACTCGTCAGCCGCTCTTTAGAAACCCTGTGTTGTTTTGGCTAAGTGCCATTGAGTCAGTTCCGACCCATTGCGATCCCGTATAGGGTTTCCGAGGAGCAGTTGGTGAGCTTGAACCACCGACCTTGCAGTTCAAACAGCTTTGCAGTCTGGCGCAGTAGCCCACAGTGCCACACCCTATAAGGGTCACTGTAGGTTGGAATGACTCAATGGCACTTAACAACAACTTCTTTAAGGGAGGCTTTCCCAGTTAATTCACCAATTAACTTCTCCATGTAGTTATGAGAATGATCTTCTGACATCCAAAAAGTAATTGAAGGGGCCCTCATAGCATAGTGGATTATCAGCTGGGCTGCTAACTGCAAGGTCAGCAGTTCAAATCTACTAGTTGCTCTGCTAGAGGACAATGAGGCTTTCTGCTCCTGTAAAGACTTATAGCCTCGGAAACCCTGTACAGTCTACACGGTCACTGTGAGTCAGAACCAGCTCCACGGCACACTCCCCGACCACTAACCACCTTGGTCTGACTGTTGGTTGGTGGTAACGGGGGGTGGGGGAAAGGCCTGTGACTGACTTCTCGGTGACTTTCTGTCTTCTCCTCAGGCCGAGCTCAGCAGTGCTGCAGGGAAGCGAGTGTGTGTCATTGATGAAATTGGGAAAATGGAGCTCTTCAGCCAGACTTTCATCCAAGCTGTCCGTCAGACCCTGTCTGCCCCAGGGACCCTAGTGCTTGGTACAATACCAATCCCTAAAGGAAAACCACTGGCACTTGTGGAAGAAATCAGAAACAGAAGCGACATCAAGGTGTTTACTGTAAGTACAGCCAGTCGTCCGTATCTGAAATGGGGCAGAAAACCTAAAACAGCAGATGGCTTTCATAAATCCTTGCCTTTGCAGTTTCATTTTTCCATCTTCTGTTAGAGCTTATATGCATCTGACTGTCTAGGAATTTACAGCACTAAATCACGTAAGGAGCCCTGCGGTGGCGATGGAGGGTAAGCATTCGAACCTGAGCTCAGTTTCAACTGCAAGATCGGTGGTTCAAACTGCTCAGCCGCTCCTCAGAAACCTTATACAGGCTCGGTATGAGTCGGCCATGACTTGACAGCACTTAACAACAACAAATCAAGAAACACCTCTACTTCGTGAAGAAACCAGCTCTCCTCTGGGGATGCTGCCTGCCTTGTCGGTAGCTCTGGCTACATTCTCCAGGCCCTCTCCCCGGTATAGTCTGACCTCTCAGGCAGTCAGAATTGTCCTTGTTCTCAGCTTTCCTCTTGTAGGGCAGTGCAAACTGGGGTTGGTGTCAGGTTGGGATTCAGAGGCATTATGTGTTAGATTCTCTCTTTCAAACAGACTGATTTCTGCTTGTGGCAAGACGAGACTGTGGCAGCGGTTTGAAGCAGTTTCTAGAGGCTGAGAGTTGAGACGGCCTCCATTAACCGTTCCCTCCCCTCCCATCCACCACCTGAGGGCAGCCCTACTGCTTCAACTTCAGCTTTCTGTTCATCAACTTCGCAGCATGTTCACAAGTTTGTTGTTGTTATGTGCTGTTGAGTTGGCTCCGACTCATAGTGACCCTATATAGGGTTTCCAAGGAGCAGCTGGTGGGTTTGAACTGCCAATCTGTGGTTCTCTGTCCAGTACAGATCCTACAGCACCACACCAGGAGTCCACAAGCAGCTCTGTCAAAGAGAACTTTCTGTGATGGCGGAAATGTACTTCCTTTACTCTCTAGCCTGGTGCTATGATAGCTGTCAGTCACATGTGGCTATGTAAGTTTAAATGAAAAATTTAAAATACTTAAAATTCCATTCCTGAGTCTCAGTAGCCATCTTTCCAGTGCTCAGTGGTCACATGTGACTGGTGACCTTGCTCTTCAAAGGGAGGGCAACCAGGGGGGTTAGTATATCATCACCTGGGAGATTGTGAGAAGTTCAAATGTGTGGGCAGGAACCTGCATTTCACTAAGCCCTCAGGTGGTTCTTAATGCTTGGGCAGTTTGAGAAGCACCCCTGAAGATGATATGGGAGAGCCGAAATCCAGGTGTATTAATCCCTGGCTTGACTGAGCCAGCTAGAAAGACTTCTTGTAGCACTGCCGTCCAACACTGTTGACCTCAATACGTGTCTTTCTTTCCCCATTATTCTCTGTATCCATTTGAGTTGGCTATTTGCCGCGTTCCACCTTATTTTGTGTGTGTCGTTGATAGCCATGCACTTTACTGAACTGTGTTCAGACAGCTCACCCTCCAGCCCCCAGTTTGAAAGTTTAGTGGTCCTGCAAAAACCAGGTGGCCAAGTCGGGCAGCAAGGGTCACTTGTATCATGGAAAGCTGAGATTGTGCTCTAGCTCTGGGGAACCAGTGAGTACCTTCCATTACTAATTACAACATTACCATGGCCAGGTGGCCCCACTGGGGCTTCCGCGTGTTGTCTGCAAAGTACACTGGGGTCTGGGAAAACTGAGAAACATCTGGCTGTGCATCTCTGCATTTGTTGATTTGTTCACTCACTTGGTAAATGTTGATTTAACATCAACTATTTGCTATGGCTTTTAAGTTAGTTTACGTTTTAATGATACTTTGTTTAATAAGATTGACCAAGTCCTTGTCCTCATACAGCTTACATTCTAGCATAGCAGCTAGATAACAAAACTGGTAACAAGCAAATTAGGCAATTTTAGAAGCAAATAAGTGTAATGAGGGCAATGTGTAAATACAGTAATTTGGGGACAGGAGTTATAGGGAGGGTGATCAGGGAAAGTGTCTCTAAGAAGGTGTCCTTTGAGCTCAGATCTGAGAGCCATGTGAGAGTGTGTTCTCAGCAAGTTCTTGCACAGTGTCTGGGGCCTTTGTTTTTAGGATTTTGTGTTGCCTTTTCTGTCTTCCATGTTAGAGTTTTTGTTTGTGATTTTGGAGTTTCTGTGAAAATAAAGGCAGTGAATAGTGAAAGATCAGGGAAAATAAAAGAAGCTTCCATTCAGATAGTGTCCAACCTGAAAGACTGAAAACCTGTTAGTGTTAAACCTCCAGGGACTGGCTCTCTCTGCAAACGAATCTAATCTGAAAGCCCTGAGGTGAGATTGAGGCATATTGACTGTGTTCAGACAGAAGCATTGTGCCTTAGGATAGCACCACATTTTCTCTTCTAAGACAGAAGATTATTTTCAAGGCAAGGTAATCATGGCTTCTAATGACATGTAAATAAAGTGATTAGCTTTTTGTTTATGATGTGAGTGATACCCCATTATTTTCTTTACTGTGTTCCTTTGAGAGGGCTGTGCTGTTTGTGTTTTTCAAACTTAGTGAAATTATGTATGTGTATATATATAAAAAGGGAAGTTTATATCAAAGCAATGGCTCACAGTTGTAGAGGTGGGAGAGTCCCAAGTCCAAATCAGATGAACCAAGAGTGTCAGGGAGGTCTGGAAGGCAGGCAGTGCCCGAAAGACAGGCTGCTGATGGCTCCAGGATCACTGGGTAACAGAGCAGGTCACTGGCTCAAGTCCAAAGAACCGGAGGTTGGAGGATGAGCTAGAAGCAAGATCCAGACTGAGACAAAAGTTACTTAAAGTTAGTTACACTGTGTTAGATCTCCTTATGGAGGTAACTGCATCTCAACTGCCAAGCCACTGAGGATGCTGGCCCAATCGATACAATACTGTAACTGTCACCCTCAGTGCAGTCAGAACCTTCTTGTTGTTAAGTGCCGTCAAGTCGGTTCTGACCCATAGTGACCCTGCATACGGTTTCCGAGGCTGTAAATCTTTACAGGAGCAGAAAGCCTCATCTTTCTCTTGCGGAACTGCTGGTAGTTTCGAACTACTGACCTTAAGGTTAGCAGCCCGGCTCATAACCACTACGCTACCAGAGCTCCTTAGTCAGAACCTTAGCCGTCTTCAGTTAACTATCCAGCTAGATTTCAAAGACCCTCCTTGGCTCAGAGAATGTGTGTTAGGTTGTGGGGAAGACCAGATGAATAAGGCATAGCCCCTGTCCTAATGGAGTTCACCGTAATAATTATCTTCAAGGTACATTCTTGCCAAGAGACATATGACTAGATCCATCCCTCTACCCTCGCTGGGCAGAGGACAAGAAACCAAACCTGTTGAAAATGAGTCAAATCTGACTTAACAGTGGGCCCCACATAGTACCGGATAGAACTGCTCTTGGCTGTAACTGTTATGGAATCAGATTTCCAGACCTTTCTTCTGTGGTGCCACAGGCTGCATTAGTAGTTGAGAGCATACTGTTTCAACTACCCAGGTGCCTTCTGGATAGACTTTAGTACAGAAAGAAAGAAGGGGAAACAACTTGGTTGCTGTTCTATTCTTCCTCACCTTCCTTTTCTATTCTCAGACCCCAGTTCCCTCCTCTAATAACCTCCTCAGGAAAGACTGCCGAAAAGCAGCCAGAAATCTGGTGGTTGGATTAAAAATAAACTAGAATTTTGCATAAACGGAAGGGACCCTGAAATTGACAGATGACGCTTTCCTTTCTGTTGGGTTTGAGAGTTTATCTTTGCTGTACAGGAACATATTAATGGAACACTGGGAACAGTTTCATATAAACAACTTAATACACAATTTTTAGAAATAATTTTAGGGAACTAAAAGGGAGGGTAACAAAATATTAATGTTCCTTTTTGCATTCTATCAGTTTTTTGTGAGAGAACTGTTTGTTTTCCAGTTTTTATTTATACCTTCTGTTATCTAACCCAGACTCCAAGAGCTCAGCCGTAAGTGTCGGGAACAGGCCGGGCATCCTGACGGAGTAGACATCAGCCACAGCAGCTATTGGAGGGAGGGGGCGCCGGGCCCTCGTCTGTATTAAAATGATGCTGCTTTTCTGTACTGAAGTTGTCTCTTCTTAACCATCCAGAACTGGCAGGACCATGAAATGCAATGTGGCGAGAATGTGCAAACTCGGGGAGTGAGTCAGGGCTGTGGTTACAAGGGTGAGGATGAGTGTGATGGGGATGTGTCTGGGGGGCCTGTCAGCGCTTGGGGGCTTCTTTTTTTTTTAATGTTTTATTGTGAATTATGTGATAGTTTACATGGGAGAACATTAGTTTTACATTCATCCTATCGTATATCGTTTCATTGCCATGGTTACAATCCCCTCCATGCATCATCAACCAACCAAAGCCTTCCCGGGCACTTCTCGGAAAGCCTTAAGCAGCCCCCCTCAGGAGCACCATCTCGGGTCGTGAGTTTTCTGTGGTCTCGCCCTTCAGTGCCCTTCATAGGCCCCTGACCATCCAGTCAAAGAGCTTAGGGACTTGAAGACTCAGAACAGAGCTTTAGTAAAGAGTCACAGGAAGACAGTCTCCCTCCCTTCCCCACTTCCCACAGACCACCTCATGTGGTTCTCATTGCATCAACGTGCATTTTTGAACAACACCAAAACTGCTCTGGGCAGAACTGGCCAAGTGCCCACAAAGGCTCGGCTCTGTCCCTGTTGGTTCCTTCCAATAGGCAGACGGAGAAATAAGTGTCTCCTGTGGGTTTTGGGGCAGTCGTGTCTGGAGGCTGCCGTGCCAGCCCTCTCCTTGCAAAATAGCGTTCATGTTTCCATGTTTTACATTTTCCCCCTCTTTCTTTTCTGTACACCTCATCCTTTCTCTCTCTTGTAAAGAAGGTGGTGGAATGTTGAGAGGAGGAAAAGGCTCAAATGCCCTTGGGTCTCGGAATCTGCCTCTGCTTGAGCCAATAGTACATGCTCCCAGCCTTGAAGAGCAGAACTATATTCATCCTAGTGAAGTTGGGTGGAGACAAGGGAACCGGATGGTTTCACATCATATCTCCCACTAGGCATCTCCCCACATTGCTGGTAGCCGTTGGGAGGTTCCTGGTGAGTCCAGCTTAGCTTAGACTCTGAGTTCCTGCCTGTCCCCCAGCCCCACTTTCCGCCTCTGTTCAGGTGGACTTCCTTGATGGCAACAACCAACTGACTCCAGCTAATGTCAGTTAAGGCATCAACATAAAGTCCTACAAGGCTGTGGCAGTTTCTCAAAGGCTGTGGCAGTTTCTCATCGATCTGAAGGGAAATTTGATGGTGGTGTGCATTTCAGTAGCAGCCAGCGCTGCTCCAGCTTAGGTCAGTGCCTGTGGTCAGTGCCTGCAACTCGGCCCCAGTGGGGGTCAGCTGCAGCCCTTACCGCTCCGGATCATTCTGCTCAGGATTTGTATTCTAGAGTAAAGCTGGTGTCCCGGACTGTGTCGTCTCCCACAGGAAAGTCTAAGTGTTCTTCTGAGAAGGGGACCATGAGTGAATGCCGTCCATGCTGCATTTCTTCAGGAAACATTCAGCAGTTGCTGGACACCAGGCATTGTGTTGGGTACACCAAGTGTACAGCCCACAGTGTGATCTGGTCTAACTCAGGGTCTGGTCAGGCTGAACTCACTGAACTTTCCAGAGCCATTTGTTCCTTCTGTCTTTGTTTGTACAGGGCCTTCTGTCTGGTGGGCCCACCCTCCCGGGCCCACCCTCCCGTGCCATCTATAAAAGTTAAGTCCTCACATGCCTGCCACGGGTAAACCTTTCCTAACCTCCCCAACGATGCCCGTGTGTCTCTCTGTCCTTTCTAACACAAGCTCCTTACCACTGCCCTTGTTCGTGTTCAGGTTGATCCCTTTGCAAGCTGTATCCCCAGCACCTTGCCCAATGTGTGGTGGGTACCCATAGAGCTGTCAAATGTGTGGCAGGTAGTGTGGAGCCAGACATGAGCCACTGGGGCTAATGATGGACACCCTGCCTTTACTCACAGGGACACATTGCCATCTGTTCCTGATGTGGTCTGTAGTCTGGTTTATGTTCATGGACGGTGTGTGACCCAGCTATTGTTTGAGACAAAGAAGAATCAGGCCACTAGGTAGATTTTCAATGCCCTGTTATTTTGGTTTGTTTAGTTTGTAATTATATTAAATTACAGAGTGTGCAGTGGTCCCAGCAGACCTGAGTTCTGTTTTGTACCCTGGCAGCAGCTCCCTCAGGTCTCACAGAAAATCCTTCATCTTTGCAGAGCTCAGCGTCCACATGTTGGAAATTAAGAGACACCTAATCTCAGATGCCCCACAGAACTAGACTCAGTCAACGAGTTGCCTTCTCATGGTGCACCCAGTTAAAGCTGGCTCTCCCCCTGGCTTCCTTTAGGCTGTTTCTTCCCCTCATGGCAGGGGATGGTCAGAGCCATGCCGCACTCTGGACTGCCTCTCACAGGGCTCAAGTCACAGCTCGTCTGAATGCTGAGACCCGTCCGCCATCAGACCCAGCTTCACTCTGAGCAGAAGCTGAGGGTAGCATTTGAGAGCATCTGTCCTGTTTTCAGGTGTTCCTGAAGAGTTGTTTTCTCTGCAAGCCGCAACCTGCAAGGCTTTTTCAGAAAGGAGATCTGACACCCATTCTCTTGCTTCTCCCCACAGGTTACCAAGGAAAACAGAAACAGCCTTTTGCAAGAGATCCTGATGTGTGTGCAGAAGGGAAGCTGATCAGCATTACTGCCTTTCTGCACATGAAGAAATGTGTCCAGCCCCAGGGGAGCTGGACAGGCCCTCTGACTGGCCTCACGTTTATGATCAGCAAGGTCTTAAAACCTTGTGGGCGGTCCCAAAGGAAGCTTGCCAGCTGGTTTCTATAAAATATTTAAAAGATCAAATTAGCCTTAATGCTGGATTGACTACACGATTTAACAATCCATGATGGTTTATTTATGCATAAAGAGTTCTGTGTATTTCCTCTTGTAATTGTGTGCATGATCTTGGTTAATTATGAATTGAGAAATGACTTTGAGAGTATTCGGTGGAATTTGCCCCCATTAAAGTTTATACTGTGTTCAGGAGAAAGGAAAAGAGTTCACCTCGTAATCAGTTTTGCATGACATGAAAATTAGAATCTTCTCCAGGAGCAGCCTGTTTTATGCCATTTAAAGTGCTGTTATTTCATTTTTAAAAGTCATTATTTCAAAAGAAAAATAATTGCTTGTTTATTTGTTTGTTAATTGTTTAATGAATATCAAAATCAGTTCCATGGCTGCAGCCACATAAGTCCTTGTGTGGGTGGGAAAACTGATCTCTAATAATGTATTTATTCAGCAGGTATTTGACAGAGCTTGGCCCACTGGGGTTCAGATCAGAGCCCACTTGGGCTGTGGTAACCTAGGCAGTTCTTGGGCCTACGTGTGCCCCTAGTTCACCACATGGAAAACGTAACAAGACTCCTCACAGGATGACAATGCCCCACCATTGTGCACAGTTCCGCTGAGAAAGCTGCAGTGCGCTAGACTCGGCCCCTTCAGGATGAGGTTATAAAAATCCCGGTGCTTGTTAGGGACTGACTTCCTCCAGGCCTGCCTGTGGATGGAATCCCCTTTGGAAGTAGGGCTTTCTTTGTTAAGTTAATGAGACCTGTCAGTGTAGGCAGTCTTCAGACGGTCGCCTTTGAGATGTGAAAAAGCTGGAGAGGCAGAGGGGATGGGCTAGCCGCTGGCAGGTCTCAGAGGGCTGAGACAGCTGAGAGGATACAAGCTTTGCTCCCCTGGGCTGACAGAGAAGGCCCTCCCCTGGATCTGGCGCCCTGAATTTGGACTTCTAGCCTCCTAAACTCTAAGAACATAATTTTTGATTCAAGTCACCCACCTGTAGTGTTCTGCTCTAGCAGCACTGAGAAACGAAGAGCACGGGAGTGAGGAAACAGTTCAGTTTTAGGTCACTTTTGGTCATTCTACATGACTGAGATTTCTTAGCACTTGAAGTTAGTGTCGAGGACACATTAGGAACCCGGGGCCATGGGCCTCACTTACCCTGGTTTCATATCCATCCCTTTGCCCTGAAAGTGTGAGGACATCTCTAGTCCAACACAAAAGATAACAAGCTAACATTGAGAAGAATTGCCTGGACATGGATAAGGATCTCAGAACCCGAAACCTTAACAGAAGCAGCTGGTCACAAGCAGATGATCCATGAAGATAGCGCTGAAACAAGAGGTGACTGGCTTATGAGCTTTCAAGAGGGAACCTAGATTCAGAGGGCACGGAGGAAGGTAGACTCTCCACTTGAGTAGTATCCAATCTGTCTAGGCGGGGCTGATGAGATGGGGATAGGTCTCTTGTGGTGCAATGGTGAATAATTGTTATCAGGATTGATTGTGAGGGTTGGAAATATAAAGGTAGACGTTTGTAGCAAAAGGAGGGGAGTGATTGACTTTGCAGTCCAGGAGCAGAGGTCCCAGGTACCATCAAGGGAGAGGAGCGGAATATAGGACCCTACCCAGAGAAACAGTGACACCAGACATGGAGGTAGAGATGATGGCGTGTAACAATGGAGCGTGTGGGGACTCTAGACCCAGAGAGGGAGAGGGGCTGGGTGCTGATGACCAAGGGGCAAGTTTGTGGGGTATACCCTTTGGTTGGTTGATGATGCATGGAGAGGATTATAATCATGGCAATGAAATAAAATACAATAGGATTAATATAAAGCTGATATTCTCCTACGTAATCTATCACATAATTCTGAAGAAAAACTTAGGAAAAAAAAGATGGTGCTTAAAGCTGACAACTCCAGAAGGTACCCCGTTTCTAAGAAGCCTGAGTCCCTTTGCTAAAGAACCATGAATAATTCAACATACCACTCCACCTCCTAATCATTATATAGTAGCCCATCCTTCGAGGAAGAGACCCCAAACCTTTATAAGCCAGTGCACTTCAATTCCAAAAGATCTTCTCCACTTGGGGAGACAGGCCCACTTCGCCCTCTGAAGTGTACTTTTGCTTTGCAATAAAGACCTGCTAAGTGAATACTTACTGTTTGTGCCTGAGAAGTGGTGACTCGGTGGGACTAATTCTTCAGAGCTCCGAAAGCAAGAGGGATCAGGGAAAAATGTGACATTAGCAGCAAAGTCCACTGCGGTTCCTGCTAGGACTCCATCTACTGCCCATCAGCACATGTGGACGAACTGCTGTGGGACCTAGTGGACAGAGACCCCTCACTTCTCCAGCCCTAGAAGCAGCTCTGATTCAGTCTCTGTCTTCAGTGTGGCCTCCCAAGGTAAGTTTCTGAAGCTGGACCTGCATCTGCCAACCCTTTGAGGGATCACAACAGAAAGGCTTGATGGTTATGAACTCGTCCTTTGAACAGGTCACTTGATCAACATGGGGCAAGGCTCCTGCTTCCCTTGGTTCTGGTTGCATGTTTTCAGAGACTGGTGCTTGGTGTGTGACTGCCTTTAGTTACAAGGTTCCTCACATATCTGACACGTGAGTGAACGTGCTTCTGCTTCTGGGCCTTTCGGTGACTGTTGTCATTAAATGCCTTGCCCTCCACCTCAGATGGCATGGCTGTTATTCTCACCCTCTCCCGTGTCCCCAGACCTCAGAATTGACCTTCAGCTGTGAAAAACTCTGGCCACTATAAATCCAGAGAGTGTTCAGTGTGTTCTTTGTGCAGAGTCCTTAAATGACTACTGAGTTACTTTGTTCAAACAGAATGATCAGGGAACATGGAACGAAGATGTCAGGCCCAATCCTTGTATCTCAAGAAGGGAGATTTTATGAAGAATGAGATTAAGTCAGAAACACTGATATAGGTCCAATGTGCACAACCTCTGGAAGGAGCATTCAGTTGAGACACAAAGGAGGAGGAGGTCGGGTGGGGGATCAGGAGAAGATGCTGCAGCAGAACCATGTGGATTCATTCCCTCGTGAGCACAACCATGCCATCTGGGGGGGGGGGGGGGGCGGGGGGGCAGGGGCAGGTCTCTTGCATGCCTAATTGTGAGCTGCCCACCATCCTACAAAGGGAGATATCTAGTAGCTAGATGAGGAGCTGGATATGGTGTTGGTGTGATGTAGAGTCAGTTCTGACTCATAGTGACCCTGCATAGGGTTTCCGAGGCTGTAAATCCTTTTGGGAGCAGAAAGCCTCATCTTTCTCCCACGGAACCTCTGGTAGTTTTGAACTGCTGCCCTTGTGGTTTGCAGCCCGATTCGTAACCACTATGCTACCAGAGCTCCTAAAATGAGGCCAGAGAATAAGTAATGATTCCTTCTAAAAAGCACTTCATTAAAATGTGGCTTTATTGCGTGCAGAATTCCAGGTAGAATGATATGGTTGGATGGGACAACAGAATTGATCTGGAGATGCTTTTACCAAAACATTGTTTCTTCTGCCCCATTTCCCTTCCTGATGTGGCACTGTAGGACACGGACTCAACTGTAAGGTCAGTGGTGGTTCAAACTCACCAGCCGCTTCTTAGAAACCCTATACTGGGTCCCTACAAGTCAGAACCAACTCGAAGGTACTTAACAACTACATCAACAATAGATGGTACCACTCCCAGCCACTAAACACTGACGTGATATTTTTTTTACATGGTTTTACTTTTCTTTTACTTCTGAATAAGAGTAAGCACATGTTGAAAACTGGCCACACCTTTTCAACCGTTAGAATACAATCTCTGACGACACAGCTGTGAAGTGGTAAGATTAACAGTTGCGAGTAGAACCCAAGTCACCAGCAGCCCAAAGTTTATTCCCTCCACTTTCCCCACACACTACTCTCCAACCGTCCTATCAATTCTGACCCCAGTCACCCTTGCCAGGGCTCTCTGCTTCTCTGCCCAGTTGGAGACTCCATTGCATTGGCCACATAGAGCTCACAGACCATGCTAGAGTTACATAAATAATTGGCTAAGGAAGTAACAGTGTACAACTTGAGATCTGGTGGAGGAAGCATGGAGGCAAAGTCTACCTTCATTGTAGGAGAGGTTTGACAGGCTCCTCTTAGTCTTTCAGTCTTCACCACCAACTCCACCGTGGGGCCCCGCTGGGCCTTTCAGTCCTCAGTGTTCTCGCCCTGACCCATGATACACTTCTCTTAGGAGGTTCCTTGACTCAATTTCTGGTGCTTCTCTTTCTGATGCTTCCTGGCACAAACCAATCTCTGTGGGATTGACTGCACATGTGTGCAGACTCATTGGTTTCACCAGGGTTGTGAGCTGACCCATCCTGGCTCGTGGTCCACAGACTCATCGACATAGTGGATTATCGTCAGTTCATTTGCATCATTTATTGACGAGTCTCTGCACGTTGTATACCAATCATGATGCAAGCTGAAGCTCAGACCCAGAAAAAGTATCAAACTACAAGTGATTCACAGTTTGCCCCAAAAATGTCCATGAACCTCAACAAGGTAACTAACTCCTCAGGGATTGGTGCTAAGTGCTTTCCAGTCGGTTGGGACTCATAGCGACCTTGTGTAGGGTTTCCAAGGAGCAGCTCGTGAGTTTGAACCACCAACCTTCAAAGATTGTTGTTGTTGTTGTTAAGTGCCTTTGAGTCGGTTCCGACCCATAGCGACCCTGTACAGGGTTTCCGAGGGTGTAAATCCTTACGGGAGTAGAAAGCCTCATCTTTCTCCCACGGAGCGGCTGGTAGTTTCGAACCACTGACCTTAAGGTTCGCAGTCCGATTCGTAACCACTACGCTACCAGAGCTCCTTCAAAAATCAGCTGTTTCCCGCCTCCCACACACACAAAAAACCAAGGCATAAACCACCTGAAAGAACTTATTTCACAATGACTGACGAAAGAGATTTGTAGGGAAGTGGCCAGTTCATTCACTCACTGTTTCCCGGCCACAAACAATCCAACGGGGTGACTATGGGATGGGATAAGGTTATTTCTACTCTCTTTTGTCTCCATGTGTGTAGAAGTTTATGTCTGGGAGAAGTGTGTGTGTGTGTGTACAGCAGATGCTGGTGGCCCTTTAGAAAAATCACTTGGGATAAAACAGTAGAAAGCGGTGGAGGTGGCCCCAGAGGGGAGAGAGAAATAGGAATTGCTAATGTACATTTTATGGGTAAAGAAATTTGATTAGCTAATGAGTTTTGAAAATGACTTCCCAGACAGTGCAGAATTTAGAGTCAGTAATGCTAATTAGCGACACGATTTATAGGAAACCATGTGCTAGTCTTTGTGTGGTGCTGTGGGTTAATGCACTGGACTGCAAGGTTGCTTTGAACCGCAAGGTCAGTGGTTCAACCTCCCCAGCCGCTCCTCAGAAAGCCTATACAGAATCGCTATGAGTCCGAATCAACTTGATGGCACTTAACAACCACAGTCTTTTTTATTACCGTTAGAGGACAATCTTGTTCAGGTCCAAATGCAGAACTGAACTCTCCTGGCAGAACATTTGAACAACTTTGGCTACAAATGCCAGCTCATGAATGTCTCCTATCAATGGGGCTAGGAATAATAGTTTGTCAGGAAAGCTGCCTAATGAAACAGCAGATTGCTTAAAACCAGATGAAAAAGCTCACAAATTGCTAATAATGATATAAAAGTTGTGGCTTCATCAGGGATGCTGGCCAGCCAGACACAGAGAAGCCAGGAATGCCTTGTGTCAACCTATCCCCTTCTCACAGGAGCGTGCAGGTGAATGTGTACACACATGCATGTTTGTAGGAAGCAGATGCAAAGTGGCTTGACTATTCCCTAGAAACTTCAAAGAAAGCAGAGTCGTAGTCACAGTAGAGAAATGTTGTCTTATGTTGATCATAAACTATACATTTTTCCCCTTTCCATCCACCCCTCCCCAAAAGATTTCTCCAAGAACTAGAATGAGGAATACACAGATTGAGCCGTTGAAGCAACAGCTCAGACATCTCTCTCTATTCAAAGCAGATATTAGAGACAGCTTGGTTGTCTCCTTTGTCACTGACATTCTCTACAGTTTGTCAGCAGGTTTCACCTTCTGTGGAGCATCTGCGTGGTGGTGGTGATGTGCCATGGAGTCGGATCTGACTCATAGTGACACTGCATAGGGTTCCCGAGGCTGTAAAATCTTTCTGGGAGCAGAAAGCCTCATCTTTCTCCTGCAGAATGGCTGGTAGTTTTGAACTGCTGACCTTGAGATTAGCAGCCCAACTGATAACCACTATGTTACCATGTTGCAGACCGTGTAAGACTGGTCAGAGGTTCGAGGCCCTATAGGCCCGAGTGTAACAAATGAGGCCACTGGCAGTTAATGGCAAATTGCTTTCATCTTAATATTCAGTTATATATATTAAATTAATACACGGAGCCTTTGATAATCCACAGATAAATGTGATATTTTCCTAAAGCCTAAGACTAAAAGTTGCAAGGTCAAGCCTTTCTCCAAAAGGATTAACTAAAAATATTTTAGCTACTTCTTGGTTCTTTGTTCTATAGGCAAAGAACCCATCCTCCCTAATCCTTTTCCAGGTGCAGCCCATTCACCTGGGCATCTGGAGTCCTGACCTGGCTCAGGAAGCCGAAACAGCGGGACTCTTTTGTCCTTACCTTTCACTTTCCCCCACCTGAGCTGGGGGGGGGGGGCTATAGATATGTTAATTGAGCCTGAGACTCCAAGTTGCTAGCCTGGGATTCGAATCAGCAAAGTACGATGTAAAGTTACCTGAATGTCTGGAAAAGTACTGATGTTAGCTGTACCTTGCCTAAGTCCCTCCCAGCTTGGTGTGAAGCTCCTCCCCTAAATAAAGCAGAGGCTCGGGCCTCCCCAGGTGTGCATTACAGGTTGGAAGGCATGCAGTAAAGATTGCAGTGCATTACAAGATGGAGGGCATGCGGTAAAGATTGCAGGGCAGTGAGTTGCTGCCTGCAGAGGCCATGATGCCTGTAGTCCCAAGCCTGCCCACCAGTGATGTATCCACTCTGGCTTTGGGGTGCCTCATTGTCTCCCTTCTTCTGTTTGTCTGTGTATTCTTTCGCTATCCCTATCGCCGCTGGATCTCCCCTCCTCGTGAACCAAACACTCATGAACAACACAACTATGTCGAGGTCAGACCCCGACATTACCAGAGCTCCTTGAAACCCCTGCATCCTAGTCAGCAATACCCACATTTGTATCTCCAGGGATTGCTCATTTGAGAATGGGATCTGGCTCTGGTAATAAAGCCCATGCTGTAAGATCAGCACTGGACTGCTAACTGCAAACCCGGTGGTTCAAACACACCAGCCACTCCTAGGAAACCCTATAAAGGGTTTCCAACTCAAGGGCACATAACAACTGCTGCTGGTGGTAATGTTGTTAAGTGCCGCCAAGTCAGTTCTGACCCATAGCGACCCTGTATAGGGTTTCCGAGGAGCCGCTGGTGAGCTTGAACTTCCAACCTTGCAATTCAAATGGCTTTGCAGTCTGGCGCATTAACTCACAGCGCCACACCAGGACTCCAATAGCCGATTCTTATTTTGCCCAAATAATCATGACCATCTGCTTCTGGGGTAAGGGGTTCTCTACAATACTCTTCTTTTCCCTTTTTCCTTCTCTCCAAGTTGCGAACCACTAGGTCAGTGGTTCAAGCCCACCAGTCACTCTTTGGGAGAAAAATGAGGCTTTGGGATCCTGCTAAGACTTACAGCTGTGGAAACCCAATCCAGGGATGCTATGAGTCAGAATCGACTAGAAGTCACTTAACAACAATAACAAAAAATATTTTGAAAAACTATTGTGAGTCTTTTGAATCCAGTATTTCTGTTATCTTTCCAAGAGAGAGTCTATGATTGTAGTCTCTTTGGACTGTATTTCAGGACTTCACCTCATCTCACTTCATTTCCCCAAGAATCCGGGTTTCTGCTTTACCCAGTGGGAGTCTTAGGATGGAAAATATTATAGCTGCGAATTTGCCCAAATTTCAATTCAGACTCATGGAGACCCTATAGGACAAAACAGAACTGGCCCATACGGTTACTATGACCAAGTCTTCACAGAATCAGACCCCCACATATTTCTCCCACAGAGCAGCTGGTGGGTTCCAACTGCAAACGTCTCAGTTAACGGCTCAGTGCTTTACCCAGAGAACCACCAGGAGTTGTAGACATGATAACAATCTCAACACAACTTGAACACCTGGACAAGCCATAGGTACAAACATTTTAATTCTAAAAATAAAGGCGTAAGTGTCAGCTGACGTGAGGACAGCTCTACTAGGAAAAACATGCATCCCTGTGAACTACAGAGAAGCGCTTGGTGCACCAGGCATCTGCGGCAGGAGGAGCCCCAGGGTACGAGAAAGGGTTCCATGCACTGACTGTGGAGTTAGATTCGTAGTGTATGTCATCTGTACCCTGACTCTTCACAGAATACTTCAGACATGACTGCACGCACTCGCATGTGCCTTGTAGCAAAGGTATCATTAGTGTATGCTTACTCAACATAATCACGAAGAAATGAGGTTTCCCTGGAAATAGATTTCGCGTTTTTGTTTTTTGTTTTAATTTAGTGCATTTACCAGCTGATGGTACAATAAGTACTATTGCTCATTGCTTTTTCAAGGCGATGGAGGTATATAAAATGCCAATCATTTTACATGCAGTTGTCTTATTCTCATCAAGACAGAAAACAGTCCCTTCCTCTAGTTGCTTCTAAGATGCTAATGGCTTTTGTTTGTAATTTCAAATTCTAGGAAGCGTTTTTATGCTGTCTCAAGTGTGCAGCTCTGGGCCAGGCTCTCAGGGAAGGAAGCAGTTGGCCTTCTTTCACCACGTAAGATGTTTTCAAGAACCTGAGATTAAGATTAGCCTGTTTTCTTCTAGATCGGCTCCTACGTGGTTGGGGGGTGGGATGGGGCACAGGGAGAGCCTACAGCTCCTGTAAGTGTGGCCCACCCCTGACGATACATGCTCGTTACTGCTCGTCGGAAGCACTTTGCTGGGATGCCGTGTCATCGAGTCCCATGTCCTCCTGGCTTGCTCTTCTGCACATCACCCCAAGGGTCTCTGCCGTAGGTTCAGTCAGACGGCGACTGCAGAGCTGGACCTGCTCCACAGCATCGGTGGGTTCACAGGGCTCGGAGAAGTGCTTCCAAAGAGAAAAGAGAAGCCACACAGAGCTCAGCACACACCCACGACACTTCATTTGCCCAGAGGAACTAACCCAGAGCATCAGCACCCCTGTGCCCAGCACCCTTGAGGTCAGGATCTGCAGCCTTTGAGCAAACGCTTGGCCTTTGAGGAAAAGACTGAAGCCACAATGTACCACAGGGTTCCTGGAGGGAGTCTTTGCCTGGATTGGGATGCTAGAAAGATATGGCCTTTAGCCAAAGGTCACTGTGTGCCTGTGTCCTATCAGTGTCACTTCCCAAACACTTAGCCTTGCCACAGATGCTGAATTCCTGAGGTTAGGCCCAGGACAGGAGCACAGATACCTTTAAGTTTGACACACCTAGTCCCATGGGCTCTTGCTGGAGAATGGGAAGGAAATGGGTCTCAGTGCCACATGCACCTTTAAGGCTGTGACTTCAATGCATACGAGGCAGGGGACAGGTATGATATTTTGTACATTTTTATTTAAAGAATGGGAGGGAAGTTTGTTAGTTTGTCAGCTTAGTTTTTCAACCAGTTGCTGTGAGGCCAACTCTAGCTCATGTGTGTTGGAATAGAACTGTGCTCCTTAGAGTTCATAGAAACCGATCACCAGGCCAAGGTGCCTTTGGGTGGACTCAAACCTCCAACCTTTTGGCTAGCAGCTGATGAGAGTCACATTTACCCCACCCAACAAGTCAGTTATCAAACTAGACAATTCAATCTCTTGAAGTATGAAACTCCCTTCCTCTTAGTAGGCATGGCCTATGAACTCCAGGAAGCACACAACTGCAAGGAAGGTGACCCCCATTGCTGCGACCCCCTGGATTTTTTAGGCCAGTTTGTCAGGATGGCTGAGGGCAGTAGTTGTATTGTGTCCATGGGGAAGGGACATTGCCCATGGAAGAAGAGTACAGCAACAGATTAGAAGGCATCCTCTCTGGCTCCCAGTAACTACACCCAGGCCCACACCAAATGGGGTGTTATTCTAAAGCTTGATGAAGAGCACAAATGTTGGGCAGGAATATGTGGCTGACATCCAAAAAGAACATGGGGGATCACCAAATCTGAGCACATCTCCCTTGCTACCATGTTACGTGGAACCCTGGTGTGGCACTGTAGGATAAGCACTGGACTGCTAACCACAAGGTCAGTAGTTCAAACCACCAACCACTCCTTGGAAACCCTATACAGGATCATTGAGAGTCAGAACTGACTTCACAGCACCAAGGTCACAGCTCAAATCCACCAGCTGCTCCTCGGAAACCCTGTACAGGGTCTCTATGAGTTGGAACAGACTCCACAGCACTTAAGAACAGTAACAAGCATGTTATACAAGGGTGTGCATGTTATATAAGCCATTGGTCACGCAGTGGATTAAGCCTTGGGCTGCTAACCACAAGATTGGTGGTTCAAATCCAGCTGCTCCACGGGAGAAAAACGAGGCTGTCTGCACTCTGTACTACAGCATTGCTGTGAGTTAAAACCAACTTGAAGTTTGTGGGGTTGATTTTTGGTTTACCATGTTAAATAGAAGAACTACTTGATAGATGTGTGTGTGTGTGTGTGTGTGTGTGTAAGAGAGAGAATGCATGCATGTTTGTATATTGAATCACTAGTACTCAAGTGATGCTGTTGAACTTGGGATTCCGGATAAGTCACAGTTTATTTGCATGAAGTCCTTAAAACTCTTTTTCTAATGTTGAAATACATAAGAGTAGTAGGCATCTCATCCAGTCTCACATTAAACCAGATGGAGAGCAATCAGTGTTCCCCCAAGCTCCAGTGTGGCTGTGTTTCCTCACCTCTCTCCTAGACCAGAATGCTAGGAGACGAGAAAGAACTCAAAGTTGCTTCCACTGTGTGCATGAATGGAGGGCACCCCCTGCCCACCCCCATGGCTAAGGGTGATGATGGCATTGACGCTCAAGTTCTGCACCGGACACCCCACGGCAATGCCTGGTATTGCTGTTTACAGAATTGGTACTCTTCCAGAGTGAGGTTCCACCATTCTGGTAGTTTCTCACTCTGGGAGTCCCAGTGGGAATGTGGTGAGTCCACCTCATCAGGTGTCACCTGTTGGAAGTGCCCAGGCTGGCGCCCATGTCACCAGACTGGTAATTCTCTGCCCTGCTAACTCCGTGCCTCCTTACCCGTGTGGCTTGACCTGCGGCTCTGGCTGAGGGACCCATTACAATGTTGACACTGCTAGATGACTGGGTGTCGCTGGTGTTGCCACCCTCTGCGGCAGAAAGTCCAGAAATAACGAGGGCGCTGGAGAAGCTCCTCTTGCCAAAGATGAAGCTAAGGGTGGAACTGGTGGACGAGCCCAAGCTGGATCTGATCAGCGCCTCAGCCCGCTCGCGGACACTCAGGTGGCCCGTGGTGGTGACAGGCGGTGGCTGGGAGTGCAGGGACACCACAGAGTTGTGTAAGGAGAGCTGGCTGCCAGACAGCCTCGGGGCCAACTCATGGACTGATGTGGACGTCTGGATGAAGGCCTGGTGACTTTCCAGCACGGGACCCGGAAAACTCAAGATGGGAAGTCTTTGGCTCAAGGTTGCATGGGCCTGGACAGACTGGCTCCTGCCTTTTCTCCTACCTTCAGAAAAAAAACAGAACACATTGTAGTAGAGGGGAACTGCTAACGATGCCTGAACCCTCAGCTAGTGATCCGGGCCGGAGCCTGCTCTGCGTGGACCAAGGGACCAGAGAGCCCACCATCTCCCTCAGACACTGAAACTGAGACCAAGGACTGAAGGACTCAGCCACCGGGAAGCAGGCTCACACTGTTGGTTAGTAGCTGTCCAGGCAAGAGTGAAAGTGTGTTGTATGTCATATTGAAAATGTGTCATTGCTGCTGAAGGGTGGGTGGGAGGTATTGGTAAGGGCAGTAGCAGCTAAGGTTACTGTGTTTTCGGGACTCTGGGTTTTAGCACTGAATGTCTTGAATTCTTGGAGACCCCTTCAGTTGGGAACAAACCAGGATAATAGAGCATCAAAGCTTTTCCTAAGGAAATCAATCTGATTTTATTACTAGTTCATAACATTGGTTCCTATGCTTACCTGGTTATATAGTATGTAGGCTTTAATCATGTGGTGGCCTTGAAAAGAAAACAATAGGGTTGACCCACATGTGGCCTTGGTTTTCTGGAACAATTTTCCCTTCCTAAAAGGGACTCAGGTCAAGCACACAGGACGTGTGTCTTGTCCAAGTTCACAGTGTGGCTCTTGCCTCTCCTCTGTCAGAGGCCCTGCCCGCAGCTTATGCTGAGATTTGTGTGGATGGGACATTTTTGAATAAAGGAATTGGTCCTGTCCACTTCTCTGGACAAAGGAAAACCTAAAGCAATTCTTCTCATGCCCAGTCTTCATAGGCAGTGTGTGCTATTAATTTGTTAACATGCAGTTGCAGGAGAATTTGTGCTTACAAGCACGTCTGGTCTGGTTGCTGATCATAAGCACCAATAAGCAGCTAGGATCTAATTGTCAAGTATCTTGGTGGTGGCAACTATTTTAGTCATGGCTCTACCAACTGTTTAATTGGCATGCCACTGGAAGTTGCTATAGTTAGGTGTTAAATAAAATAGGAAAAGCTGAGGACTCTCCTAGATGTGTTCTCATGCTCTACTTTCCCTCGTACCCAGATAATTCTGAAACACTTACGTCCATCTGTTTAAAAGACAACTGGAAAGTTGGTGTATCTTTTGAGAAATGTCTCCTTAGGGAACAAACATTGATATAGAAACTTGGGGGGATTTCTCTTCCCACACCAGTCCCATACCTCTCCCTGCAGTGACTGAAAGGGCCCTTTGCCTCAAGGTTAACCAACTTAGGTGCTCTTGTGGCTGGAGGGCTGAAAAATGGGGTGCTCACCCCCAGAATTGCATGTGGCCCACAGGACTTGTATCAGCACCCTAAGGTGCATGTGTCAGCCCCTCACATAGGGCTTTCAATGAGACTTCAATGCAAGGGGTGGGGGAGATCTTGGTCTGCCTGAGGTCCTTTCTGATGACTTTAATATGTTGCTCTTAGAGAGAGAAAAAAGGGCACAAAAGGAACCCAGATAAATAAAAAAGTAAGAACAGAGAGTGATTTGTTAGTTTATTCAAAGTTTGGCAAGGCCAAACATCTGTTTGTGATTTGGTCTGTAAAGCCAATTGCTGCCCCCAGATACTCCAGAGTCATTCTGAAGCCGTTGATTTTGATGTTGGATTGGAGACCACCCATACTTAGGTAAGGAACTTCCGAGATGATACCAGGAACAAGGGGATAAAGGCCTCTCTGTGTCAAAGGAGAACGGTCTGTGTGAGATGAACGTACCCCTTGATTTCATAGCTTTGAAATTTCTTGTTACTTCATTTTGTTCAGTGTCTTCATTTTAATTTTGGAAATGGAACAGTACTAACACATAGTGCTAAATTCATTTGTGCTACTCTTAAGATATTTTTTGACAATTACTTCATTATCAGATTTTGAGTGTCTAGGGAAAACCTCCCTGGAATCTGAGTTGAAATCCCATGTGAAGCATCACAATCATGGTACCATTCCTCTGCCTTTGCCTACAATCTGAAAGGTTGAGGGGCACGGCCATAACCACAGGTGAGCTTAATCCTCTCCATTCACACTAGTTCTGTCTCCAAGGTACTCTGCAGTAAGGTTACCAGCCTTCACTGCTGGGGGATGTTCACATTTCTACAGTAAAGTATGCTTTTTACCCCAGCAAGCTCACTTTCAGTATGCTGTCAAACCAGAGTTGGGGCTGGCAACAAGAAAGCTGGCAGCTGAGCTGGCTGCTCCCAGGGCCTGAGGTAGTTTGGCAAGGGTACAGGGAACTGACTGGGAACTGAGGAAAGGAGTCCTAGTAGTGCCCTGGGCTAAGCATTGGGCCGCTAACTGCAAGGTCAGTGGTTCAAATCCATCAGCAGTTCCTGCTTCCATAAAGGACTACAATCTCTGAAACCCTAAACAGTAGTTCTCCTCTATCCCAGAGGGTCAGTAGAGTTGGAATCAACCAAGGCAGTGAGAGAGACAGCGAGTGAGGAACTGAGGAAGACGAGCAACTGGGCTTGTACTTATTAAAGCTGACCCTTAGTCACTGTTAAGGATTAAATTGGGTGTCCCCAAAATATATGTTGGAATTCTCATTCCTATAGCCATGGATGCGATCCTGTTTGGAAAGAAGGTTTTCTTTATTATGTTCATTAGAGCATATCTGAGTAGGGTGGATTCTAAATCTCATCACTTTTGAGTTATAAAAAGAGCAGTTTAGACTCAGAGATTCACACACTGGGAAGAGACATGGAACGAGAAACCTCTACAAGCCAAAGAACAAGAAATCCTACCTCCAGGCAAGGAACCAACACGACTGAAATCCTGACTTGGAAGGTTAATCTCCAGAACTACAAGAAAATAAATTTCTGTTCTTTAAAGCCAAACATTATATTTTTGTTACAATAGCACTAGGCAACTAAGACAGTCACCATGAGTAAAACTAGATCCCTGTTACTAGAATTTGGTTCAAATTCATCCTGCTTGGACATTACTGCTTATTCGAAGGCAGCCCAGTCACACCATTCCTCAGCGGGTCAGGTCCTCCACCCTGTTGGTCAGCACATTGATCATAACTGTGCATTTACATGAGGGCCTCCACTCATTGCCAACATTTTGATTGTCTGGAGCTAAGGACTACTCAGCTCCTAGCATGTTGTTGTTGTTGTTAAGTGCCGTTGAATCTGTTCTAACCCATAGCGACCCTGTATAGGGTTTCCAAGGCTGTAAATCTTTACGGGAGCAGAAAGCCTCATCTTTCTCCTGCAGAGCAGCTGGTAGTTTCGAACTGCTGACCTTGCGGTTCGCAGTCCGATTCGTAACCACTACATTACCAGAGCTCTTAGCATACCAGCTGGTAGATAAGGAACAAGAGGACACACCTATGAAAATGACCTTACACCGAAACCCTGAGCTCCGTAAATCTCCAGATACAAGTGAGCCCTAAAAAGTTCAAGGTCTGTATGGGGGTTCTTAACCTTGGCTGTTATGACCATTTGGGAAGCTAAAAAACTGCTTTCACCTGGGTGGGTGAGACCCAGCAGTGAGACTTTGCAAATTCAGCCAATGTGTCCTCTACTGTGGACCAGAGGGCGAGCTGTAGGGGAAGCTATGGCCCAGTTTTCCAGGGTCAAGTGTAAAGAGAAAGGGATTGGGAACAGCCTCCCCATCACTGGACTATGACCGCTAATGTGCTGTACTGGTCAAGCAAAGCCCTGGCTTCCTCGAGTCTCTTACTACTGCAGACATTGGCTTTTGATTCAACCGGGAAGGAGGGCTGGAAGGATGACAGGGAAGTTTGGAGTTGAAATGATACCCAGGTCCTTCAAAGCCCCATGAGGTGCTTCCTTTAGGAATATTGATTTGCTGGGAATGGTGGGTGGTCTATCTACCCCAACTTTCCTTGTCAAGTCCAGGGTCCCCCCATTGGGTCATCGTCTGTGAAAGAACCACTCAGCCCAGGTCAGGAGGTCTCCTCTGGGCTGTTTCCTGAGAACCTCAGGCTCAGAAACAGTGCTTTGAGATGAGTGACCCTAGGTCCCTAATCCTCATGCAGGGCTGGAAAGCCTCAGTAAATACCCACAACGTCTTCATCACTATAAGGAGCAAGTCCTGGGTCAAATTTGTGAGGCTCAGGAGCCCCTGGGTGCTGAGTCTGTGAGCATTTATAATACGTCAGGTGCTAGGGGTGTCAGAGCTATCAGGAAGCTGGCCTCTTCCTGGGCTTCAGTTCTGTAAGTCCCAGGGGGCTCTCAGGGGCTACTTTCTAAGTGCTGAGGGATCTGATGGTTAAAGGCATAGGCTGTCTTCATGCCGTCCACAAGGAGAGAGCAAAGGCGATTAGTCACAGTGGAAGGTGGTTCAAACTCAGTGGTAAGGACAAGGTGACATTCCATTTTTCCTGATATTAATTAAGGAGGATAGGAAGAGATGTCTGTCCTGAGTGTGGGGCAGGCAATCTATTCCATTCCCAGACTTATTTGGGGGCCATTCTTAAATCTCTCAGGGAACCTTGAGACGCCCAAGCTCTCTCCAGATTTTGCCCGTCTTGAGCTTTTTCATAAGGGTTTCTGCTATGAGTTCCATTAAAGCAAACAAACATAGCGTATCTGTCCAGTTTCCCCTCAGAGCAGATGCTATGTTCATATGAAGCCCCCACAGTGAGCTCTGAGAACAGTCACTCACTCAGGAGCACCCCACACAGGGTCCCTGAAGCTGTGAATGAGTGTGGAGATGCCTGCGCAGGTTGCAAGCATGGGAGCAACTGGGACCTTTCGCCTGGGCTCCCTCAGGGACTCTCTCCCACCTCCTTCACTGGTTCCCTGCAGAGGGCCGTGCAGTGGTTCTCAGGAGGGGAGACAGTCTTCATTCCAGGACTCTCCCCACTGTGCGGCAGGGCCCTGTCAGACTGAAGGTACCCTCACGACAACATTCAGCATTAGGGCTGCTGTCTAAAGCTGGTTCTGCAGGCTCAGGAGAAACTGGAGATCAAGTCAGCATCCTGTTGGAATACTGGCAGGGGGCCTCCAGCAGGATCCACACCTCACGAGC